GGGGGGGGCTGCGAATACCCAATGGACAGCCTGGGACTTGCTGGTGATGACTGCAGACCACAGAGGAGTGGGTGGTTGGCGGGTGCTCTGGTGTGGTTTGCTTCTTCTTTCCTATCAAACATCTATCGTCTTTATCTCCCCTCTTCTTTTTTATGTTTGTTACTCTCTTGTGACAACTCTAATATTCTGGCGCTCATACTCATAGGAATTTATGCAGTTGCGAGCGCCGTAAAACTCTTACGAAAACTAAAAAAGACAGTTGACTGTAATGTCTTTTAGATGTATGCTGGGGCGACCACTTCCACCAACCCATGACGTCACAGGTGGCGGAGAGTGGACGCCTCATCCAAACTCCAGACATCAGGGGGGGGGGGGTTGCGAATACCCAATACACAGCCGCGGACCTGCTGCTGATGACGACAGACTACAGAGGGCGAGGTGGGGTAGGTTTGATGGGTCTGTTACTCTCATTAATATCAACCACAGCATGTCCAGCGAAGTCGTGTGGTCATCGGGCCAGTCGAGATGCCCATAAATTATAACCGTTTACCCTCAGCCATGAGTCAAATTGTAATAGTGAAGATGTCTGGCTACTCGATGGAAGAGAGACGTATTTTTCCAACAGAAAAGGGCAGACAAGGATATTTTCTCCCAGTGGCCATACACCGGCTGTCCCCGTCGTTTTATGCAAGGAAAATTCTGAAATTATGCAAACTGAGTCCAAAAATTTGAAATTATGCGATTCTGTTAATTTTAACAAAGAATGATAACGGAGAATAATCAGAACTTATGCAAAAAATGATCAAATTTGGCTAAATCATGCGTGATGCATAAAACCACGGGGACAGTCTACTAGACACCCGTGCATTGTCCCCTTCAGCAGCTACGGAGTGCGGTGGTTGGCGGGTGCCCTGGTGTGGTTTGCTTCTACTTCTTCTTTCCTATACAAAATCTATCGTCTTTCTCTCCCTTCTTTCTTTTCTTTGTGTTTGTTACTCTCTTGTAACACCTCTAATCTTCGGCACTTATACATCATAATTATGTATGACCTTATTGTGTTGAAAGTGCCGTAAAACCTTACTAAAACTAAACTAAAACAGCTACAGAAACTTTTAAGGACTACAATTTAATATTCCTCTGGAGGTTGACGAACATCTAATAACCCGTCCCATAAAAATGTATTTTGTTTCTGAAACGGAAAGTAGACGACGTAGTAACCTTGTAAATGTGCAGTGAGGACAGGAGCAACCCCCTTGAAAGTGTTATGTACATGTATATTTAATTATGTTAACAGCCCGAGGAGCCCCCTTTTGTAAACTAAACGAACAAACATCTGAAAATAGACTTCTCGTAAAAACTTTGATTCATGCTCAGGACATAGACTATGATAGAGTTATCTCCTTAGTGTAAATCTATGGCTCCAGATACCTAAACTTGCCCAGATTACGAAAGAAATAAACAATTACCACCTTGACATAAAATGTACATCATTGTACTAGTTTGTATACTAGGCCTGAGAGAAACACGCTGGCCAGGCCAAGGAAAAATGTTTCTTAGAAAAGAAATCAACACACTGTTATACTCAGGACCACCAAAGAGCAAACAACAGAGTGTTGATACCCTATTAACTGACTCTGCAAATTAAATCTCTAACTGAATGAAAACATAAATTGTAGATCATAGGTTATTTAGAGCAAGATTTCACACAGGACACCTTAACTTAAGATCTCAATAATACAATGCTATAGGATATATACATATATATTATGTGTATTCATATTATGTTTGTTTTGTTTTAGTAGAGGTTTTATGGCGCTCGCAACTGCATAAGGTCATTTGAGCGCCAGAAGATTAGAGGTGTTACAAGAAAGTAACAAACATAAAAAAGAAAGAGGGGAGATAAGGACGATAGCTGTTTGATAGGAAAGAAGAAGCAAACCACACCAGAGCACCCACCAACCACCCACATAGGCGGAGTAAATCCTCGAAAATGAAAAAAACCCCATAAATAATATGAAGAATGCATTCAAAAAGAAACGTGAGGAGCTATAAGAGGAAGAAAGTGGGTAAAAAAATTGAAGAAGCTGCGAAACACTAGATCTACATATGATAACAATTAACATGGAGGCCTTAGAGATTTAGGCCTACAGAGAAAAAAAGGACCCCAAAAATTAAAAAGAAGGGCGAACCACGCCCCCCCCCTCCCCCCGACCAAAAAATAAAAATAAAATAAAAATGAAAATAAAAATACGGGATTATAATACAGAAAAACAAACAAGCAAACAACAACATGCGCTTAACTACGTTAAGAAGCAGCAAACAGAAACGACATGAGAGAATCGTATGAGATCTCCAATTATAGAGACTCGGGAGACTTTGGAATTTGGAAACTCTTTGGAGGGGCCAGCTGAAAAGAAAGATGGTACCATGGCAACAGCAGTATAGAAGATAGCCTAAGAAAGATTGATGAGTAAAACATTTTCAAAAGGTTTTGGTCTAATGAATTCAACTTTGACGAACGACAGCTAAAAGAGGAATTTAAAAAATAATGAAATAAAATGCGACAAAATAATAGTAGGAATAAACTCATTGTAAAAGAAAACAAGTATTTTGAGCGATATGGTGACGTCATAAAAAACGGAACTGCTTGCCCCGCCCCCTTCTGAATTCAGTTTATTCGGCTTTTTACGTTTTATTACGGCCGCGCAGTTTGTTTAGTTTCGAATTCTGAACGCTTAAAATGAATATTTAGCCCATTATTTTGTACCTTTTTTCAGTTTCCTTTCTATTATTCCTATAAATGAATTTTTACTACACTTTAACCCTTTAACAGGACGCTTAAAGCTTTGTTAAGAATATTTTTGGTGGGTGTATCTTTGCCTCGTTCCTGAGGAGCATTTTAATGGCGGCCATTTGTAGATAATTTCGCCGACTGTCAAGCTATTTCCTGCATCAGTGGATTGCTTTTTAAGTTTATGATTACAATCTTTGTGTACAGGTAACCCATTGAGCACTCTGTCTTCGGGATTTGTGTTTTGCTTATTTATTTTGCGTAGTGCTTTTCCAATGTTGATCTTCTTTGGGTCATTAGGATTCTGTTCAGTCTTATCTTCGCCGGGAGTGGGAGTCGGCTCCAAGTCTGAAGTCTGAAGTGGGGGGTGTGAACTTGAGAGAGGCAGTGAAACTCACTGTCACCATTGTATTGTTTTCGTGCGTATTTCGGCTCTTTGTTGTATCAATCAAAGAGATATAGTTCAGATTGCCTAATCGGGAATTAAGGTAATGATTGATGTGAAGACTAGCAATGTGAGATGGACAGAATCTGGTTCTGGATTCATGACATGATTCATACACATGACATAGATCATGACATGATAGTCAAGCAGAGAAGAGCACTTCTAATCTAAGAGGCTGGTCTTGAGGAGTTAAAAATGTTTTTTTTAAATGATACACGCGCCTGATCTCTTCTTCTCTGGACAGTCCTGGTGATAAGGCAGCAAACAGATTAAGGATTTAGCAATTAAAGCGAGCAGATAGATTAAATTTGCTAACCCTAGAGAGACAGAGGACTAGACGGTGATCTTGTTTTAGTTCCGTTCGTTAAAATAAAAGTCCACGATCCATTTGTTTACATCCAGAGAAGAAGTGTTGATGACCAATTACTATTTGAAATAAGCTACACAAAGAGCAGGGATGCAACCTAACTGCAAAACATCAAATTAGGATAAAATTCAGGGGTGAACCCCCCACCTCCATATATATTTTTATTAGATCTAGTCTATCTAGATCTAGATCTCTAGATTCTAAGTCAGAGGGGACCCTCCTTCTCTCTTGACTTTAATGAACGAAACTACAAAATCGCCGACTAGACTTCTACTTCTAGAATCTAATTAATTAGAATTAGAATGATAGAAGGACAAGTGTAACTACTAGCGGATAATTATATTTTAGATTTAGAGAATGTCAGTCAGTTCGCCATTGGCCGACATTTATAGTAACAGCCATCTTGTTTGACGTCATTGAGGGATTACCACTTTGTTGTCAGTAATGGTGGCAACACGACCGCACGGCGGCAGCCTGCCGACTCGGATTTGATTAGATCTATTTTGCAACTTGCAGAACTGTTCGGTTCGGTCTTTTATTGTGCCACACCCTTCTTCCGCCCAGATTGATTCTGATGCTGTGTACACTACGTAAATTGAGAAGAGAAGAAGAAGACTAAGAGTAGGCCTACGTATGAAAGCAAGTTCCCAAACAAAGTTCAAATACGCAGTGTCCCTCAATGACGTCAAACAGGATGGCTGTTACTGTTACTCTACTAACTACTGTAAATATCGGCCAATGGCGTACTCCTGGCATTCTTTAATTATCCGCTTGTTGTGTGACTCTTTGACAAAGATTTCGTTTGTTGGCGAGAGAGTTTAATTAAAAGTTTACTCTGACAGTTGTTCTGTTTAGCTCAACTTCAGTAAGCTGTCTGTCTTGCTAGTTTCACATTATATTTCAAAATGATGTTCATCAATGCAAATTGCAATGATGTCTCCCATTTTTTTAGGCTTGAAAGTACAAAAATAGAAGTCTAGTTGAACGGAAATTAACTTAATTTTTATGTTCCGCAACAATTTGTTGACGTCAGAAAAAAATGCCTTCGACGTATTAATTCTGCTCAGTCTGTATTGGAGGGTTGAGTGTAAGAGACTCAATTATCGTCAGCATGATAATAATTTAAGCTAGAGCGCTCTTGAAGTACAATTTGGTACTTCATACTTCATGTCATCTTAACTTTCTCTTCAAATAGTTTTTTTTGAATTTTAAAAATTTTTAAATGTAGTTTTTCATGGATTAGTTTTGAGAAACCTTTTTATTTTTTGTGCAATTTTATAATTTTATTTTTATGCCATGCACATTAGTAAAATAGATTGTGCCCATATTTCTTACTTCAAGTTTTGTGGATTGAGAGGATTTCGTAACCGTTTCGTAAAAGTTGCTTTGAAGTGGTGAAAAACATTTTTGGGGTTTTAGTAGGATGTTTTTATGTTTCAAATGGAGGTATTCTCGTAACTTGGCCTTTCCTTTGAAGTTATTGATTTTAGAGCTTTGAATTATTGTTTATAGGGGGTGCCCATTAGCGCGGTCGGGTCGGGTCATTTTCTTATGGCTTCAATGCACATTACAAACCCGCTGCGATTGTACGGCACCGACATGGAAGATAAAGTAGACAAACCTTTAACCTCAATGGCTTCCAGGGCTCCTTTCCACATTTCCCTGTTGCATTGCTGTGGCAGCCTGGAATCCCACAACATGGGTTACTTACGATAACTTTTTCTGTTATCTTCTCTAAGTCGCTGGACTCCATTGTAGTCAGTTGTTGATTGTTGTCAGTTGTTGATGGTATTTCGTGCGGAAATGCCCGACCTTGACATAGCAGTGTCAGCATGGACACATAACTCAGCCTTGTTGTGATTGTCTGTAAAAACAACCCGATCACGCGACTCACAGCTGAAAACAAACTGGTTTGTTTTTGAAGGTCACCGACCGAGTCGATCGGTTTGTTTGTGCCCTCTATTTGGCTAGCTCCGACTACCAAATGGACCCGACCCGACCCGATCATGCTAGTGGGCACCCCCTATTAGTGTGAAGCCTCTCCAGCAAGTATCAACTCTTGCCCAATCACCTCCTGTTTGTGTAGGCGTGGGGGTGCCTGAAACACAACAACGACAGTCTAAAAATTTAAGACATTTAAATTAAAGACACATTTACTGAAGAAACCATATTTTTAACTCATTTTCAGTAGGGCCTACAGTAACAATATTATATTATCATGATGCATGACTGTTCTATTTATTATGTTGACCTAGGGATATTGCTTTGAATACTGCACTTATGGCTCACATATCATGCGCGCATTGTGATGAGAAAATGTGTGTGTGTGTGAAGCATTACGTGTGTGTGTGATTTCTTCATATATATATGACATGATGAGCAAATATTAATTTCTTTATCGATGTTCTTTGTACTTGGATTTTGTAAAGTATTTAAAGCGCCGAGAGCTACTCTGCCAATACGCCGACAAAACACCTTTTTTTTTCTTCACATCAGTTTTGAGAAAAAGAGTTTTTTTGTCAGTATAAAACCATTTAAAAATAGAGTGATTCCGAAATTTGAATTTGAATTTATAAAAAAAACTAGGTACCGTTTCTCTTTGATTTTTCACACAAATCTAAGGTTATTGATCGGACTTTCGATTTAAATTAGCAAATAAAAAATTTTGGTGCCAAAATGAAAAAAAAAAGGCCTTTTCAGCTTACGGCAGTACTGTGTGTACATAGTAGTAGGCGCTGTAAAAATGATCTATATTAATATTTATATTATATTATAGTTTTTTGTATCTTGTAGACTTTAATATTTATAGTATTTTATCATGCTCACTGTTGAAGTGAACTCCAAACTTTTGTCTCCCTGTAGGTAGAGAGGAGTAGCAAGATGCCTACTGTAAAAGGAGATGGGATGCGAGGCCTTGCGGTCTTCATTTCGGACATCAGAAATTGTGAGTCTTCGTAGCACATGATGCTTGCTGTTACTGTACACGTTGTTTGGAAATATCTTTAAAACAGATTTGTTTATCTTTGTGATGTCATTAAATTTTTCTGATACTTTTTTTATATTTCTTTATCTTCCTCCTTATTTGTTTTAATCTTATTTTTGTGCTGTTTCTTCCTCTTTGTCCCTATTAAAATAAAACCCAAGCAAATCTCATTAAGAACTGTAAAAAAAATGTTAAGATATTTTTAAAAACTTAACGACAGTTGCATTTATCAAAATGAGAGAGTAAAGTTGAATGGCTCTATCACTGTCTAGAATTTGTTCAGTAGGTCCTCATTCCACGTTTACTCCTTCTTTCCTATCAAACATCTATCGTCCTTATTATCTCCCCTTCTTCTTTTTTATGTTTGTTACTCTCTTCTTGTAACTCTTCTAATCTTCTGGCGCTCATATGACCTTATGCAGTTACGAGCGCCGTAAAATCTCTACTAAAACTGAACGGTTGTTTCTGTCTGTCTTACTTTTCCCCAGAACTAAATGACTATTGTTGTGTCGATGTGCTACGTTTTACCCAAACAAACAAATTTTAGTTCTGCTCTTGTTTTTATGTCTGCAATGCTTGCACTAGTCTGTTCATGCGTGACTTCGTGACTTCGTGTCATTTTACAACTGTCTGGAAAGCTTACTTTGTGAGGGGGGCCATATATTTATTTTCTCTCTTCTTCTTCATGTCTTACCTAGACTGTGTTTTTGTTTCTGTTGTTTGTATATTACGCCTGTCTTGTCCTTTGTTTTGTCTGGGGGAGGGAAGGGGTGATGTTGTGTGTGTGTGTGTGTGTGTGTGTGTGTGTGTGTGTGTGTGTGTGTGTGTGTGTGTATG